AATACTTTTTATTTTGAATGAAAATCTGCTTACGCGAGAACTTCCCAAGTACCTCCTCAGATTGCAATGAATTTTTGTCTATAGATACTATATAGTTTCCTAGTAAAACTCTAAAAGGATTTGAGCACATATTGAGATTTGAGTAAGCTATCGAATTTTTACTATATCTATTTTCTGGAGGCATCTATATAGAACTCCAGATTTTCAGAAAAAAATTCATGTTCGATACATTATCTATGGAAAAACGTCTATATCTTAAAATTCTCATATCTCGACAACCTGGGAAGGTTCCTTTATTAGATGTGTCAAAATGATAAGCAGATCGATAAAAGAAAAGAAAGAAAATGTGATTAAATGATGAAAAATATTTGATTGATTTGTTGGAGAATTTCTTTTCTTCTAGAGCTTTAGTTCAATATATTCACCATTTTGTTGTCGAATGTAGATCAATCTATTTCAATCAATTTGATCATTATCAACAATGATAATTTTATTTGTATCTTTTTGAGTAAATTGTTCAAGTTTTTGTTGTATTTCATCGATTTTTTGTCTAAGTTGATTAATATCAATTTCAACAAAATTTTCTTCGTCTCGACAATAACGATTTTCTTTTGTAATTGGTTCAAGTTGTTTTATTATTGTTATTCTTTGTTTATTAATTAATTCGATAAGTCGATGATGAGCGTTTTTTGCTGCTTTTTCAATTTTGTTGATTGTTGTTTTTTTCCATTATTCAATTTGATCAAAAAGATCTAATGAGAAATAATTTGATTTTTTCTAATTTTTGTATTTGTTCAAGAAGTTCATCATGTGATTTCACAATTTCATTATCGAATTTAATTGATAGTTGTTGTTCATGTTCTTTGAAATCCTTTGGACAAAAGTATTTTTTTACATCCTGTACAAAACTATTTAATTGAAGATTTATTGCAAATTGAACATAAATTGAATTCATTTATTGTTGCCATTTCTTTTTAAAGAAAATCACTTAAACTTATGTAATTTGTTATATGAATATTTATAAAGAAATTAATTTGATTTAAATGTCGTTCAACTATTTCAAATATGACTCAATCTGCATCTAATAAAAAAATATAGTAATAAGATAACTTTAATGAATTCCTATGCTTATGAATTAATAATTATAATGGAAAAAAAATTTAATAAATGAAAACTCATTTTCATTCAATGAAAACACGAAAACAAAACTGTCTATGGTAATTTTACTTCTATGAGATAACAATAAAAAATTTTTAAAAATAAATGATGATGTTTCAAATAAAAAAAAATTGTGTTTCGTTCATTTCAATAGCAAAAATATTTTTATCAAGGATTATTTAATTTAATGAAGAATTATGTGACAACATTTGAAAAGACGTGAATGAGTAAATAAAAAGTCAATAACATGTCCAATATTCTTTACTTTAAGTGAATTTTTTTATTAGTCACAGAAAACAAACTATATCATGAGTTCTTTCCATTCAATATCAATTTTGGTAGATTACGTCCATGTTTTGATTAAAAAAAACGAGATAAATTTCGAAAATATTATGATTTCTGCTTGTAGATTTCTTTGATTATGTACGCTCGAAATAAAAATAGTTCTAGTATTTATTTTAAATATATCGTCACTATAGGAGTATATTATCAAAAAACGAAAATTAATCATATATTCAGAAAGCGTTTGAACTTCATCAGCAGATTCCCTCAAACTTGATGTGTTTTTTTTATCATTGTCACCAAAATAATTTTTTCAAAGTTTTTCATCATTGTAGAAATATTTTTTTTTGAAAACACGTACATATTGTGATAACGATTGAAATTTTCTTTGATCTCATATGTTTATCTATTGTGTTACATTGATTTGTTAAAGAATAATTCGAATATCACCAAATTCCTCTATTCAACCAACATGTCAATAATTAGAGCATGTCATCTCTTTATCTTTTATCTGTTCAATCATTATTCACATAAGAAATGGATCAAAATTTTTCCCTCTGTTAGAAGATATCTCAACGCAAAAGAGATGTTGTTTTAGGCTCATTCGCTGGAGAATCTTCTGCTTTTACAAAATTACTACCTTTGCTTTTATAATAACTTTTGATGTTAAATGTAAAGTATTTTGCATTAATGAATAGAGAATTTCACGCTCTCTGTTGCTACAACCTTTTCAAGGTTTTTAATATTGAACTAACATCTAGTGATATTTTGAAACATCATGCTTTCCAAAGTGATACTTAGTCTACAATACGTTTATTCTCATGCCATCAGGAATAAGGTTTCATTCTGAGCAAAATAGCATGATTGTGAAACGGAAGAGGAAAACATTAGGTCGTGTCGAATTAAAAGTAGAATAATGATGTCATTCATATTTCTTCTAAAATTCTGAAATATATATAAAAATATGTAAATATTTGTGACGAATTGCGTAAGATATTTGTAATTTCACCGAAGCCTTTATTAAAAAATGTTCATCACTTTATCGTGTTATGATCGTCGACTGAGTAAATGTTTATCTTTTTGAATTTTCCAACGAAAAAAAAACAGGTTATTGTAAAAAAAAGTGGTCTAGTATGTTGGAATATATCATTAAAAAAGAAAAACATTTCGACTCGTTTCTTATGCGCTATCCGTTAACTGCTACTCCTCGAGTTTGTTATTGTTGATCACAATAAAATATACATTGTACTGATAACAAAATACACAATCATCCTCCGCTCATTTTTATTACAATAAACCCTTAAAATAGAACAATTACGTGTTTCTATACTTATAATTAACTTAGAATAAAAATGATAATAGAAAATTCAGTTTTTAAATGTTCTTCAAATAGCAAGTTCTACATAATACTCAAATTATTCCCAAGCATATTAATGCAATATGAGACAAATATATGGGATGTTAGAGAATTTCAAGCCCTATCGAAATTTACAAATACTTAGTAAAAATTTATTCTCATTTTAAGTTAATTATAAATTGAAGATAGCAGAAAAAGTAGTGAATTTCAACACTTATCCTATCAAAGATTCGTTCGCTATATTCAAATTATTTTTCAACAAATATATGCAAGACGATAGATAAACATATTGGATGATAGAAAAAATTCTAAGTCCTGTCCCAATGTGTAATTGTTTTTTTTTTATTTTAAAATATTTCTACAGCAAACAAAAACTTGTTTCAATAACAATGGTAAAATTAACTCTGTAGAAATCCATGTAAATTCATTTGAGAATCTTTCTCAAATCTACGGCCATTCAAAAGTGTAGATAAATTGATTATCTACGCGTACACCCACCCACATCCTTACTGTTTTGGATTTCAGATATATGAATTGAAAAACAAAAGTTTTTTTTCTCGACGAAATATTCAAAAGTTCGATCAACACGATAAAGCAGTCAATGTGAAATGTTTAGATTATTCTCAATCTTTTAAATATAAAACTTGATATTTTCATCTTCTTTTATTTGATTAAAGATGAGCAAGTTGTCAGTAAATATGTAACGAAATATTACTTTGATAAAATGGATTCGATACGATTAATTATATAGAGAATAATTTTTACTTTCAAAATATCTTTTCATTTCTACCTTTGAAAAAGAATCAAGAAATCTCAAGTATGTTATAAAAACAACTTGTCTGGTTTTGGTAATTGAAGAAATATCTGTGATGAATGGTATTTTTCGAAGAAATTTTTCTTCGAAAAAAAATTATTTCGTGAAGATGAATTCTATGAAGATTATCATTTGAATTCAATCGATCAACTACTTTTACATAAGTGATAGGAGAAAGAAGAATTTC